CCAGCCCAGAGCGGTCTGCTTCGGGAACGATTTCGCCGCCTCGAGGATGTCGTCCGCCGTGATAGGGGGCAGCTCCATGGAGCAGATCCAGTCGGCTGGTCTGGACCTGCACTCCCCGTCGGCACCTTTTCCAAAGGGCCTTCCACTCAATGAGGATCTGGTCCAGGGCTTGCTGGCCAACAACTGGGAGCGGCAGGCTGTCGGGGCAGTGCGCGGCCACCGAGTCCAGCACCTGGTCACGGTCCTTTATGACTGCGTGGGCGCCCTTTGCCCCCTTCGCCAAGGCCTCGTCCACGAAGTCCTTCCAGCGCAGCCTGGCCGCCTTGGCGTCTTCTTTGCGGTGCCTCTCCGTCGTGCTCTCGATCATCTGCAGGAAGGCCTGCCCTTGCTCGGTGGGCTCCTGGATCACGTCGATCAGCGAGCCAAGCTTCGAGCCTTCGAACTTGGGCCCCAAGCTCTTTGCCACCTGCACCAGGTGCTTGATGTAGCCGACGTGCCCCACAGGGGGTGAGCAGACCGCAGCAGCCGCCCTGAGCTGCCTGGCGATCCTCCCGAGGCAGAGCCAGCACATGGTGATGGGGCTGAGCTTTCTGACAGCCTCCGTGCGCTGCAGGTCCGCCAGCTTCTTCTTGACGGTGCGGGGACCTTTGGCCCTGCCCTGGTACCTCTCTCCCTCGAAGATGCCGAACTGGTCGATCAGGTGGAGCTCCGCGGCCTCGAAGAACTCTTTGATCGCCGCATCGGGCGTGCCGTCTCTGTCGGTGATGGGGGCTGACCAGCTGATCTGGGTCGCCGCCTGCAGGGATATCTCGCGCTGCTCGGCCGAGACCTCCGAGCCCACCTCGAAGACCCTGGGGGTCTTGAGGACCCAGACCATGGCGTTGCTGCCCAGCTCGCTGAACGTGAGCCGCACTGGTGCGTGCGGGTTCAGTGTAGTGGGCTTGATGACCTCCACCTTCGGGCTGAGGCCGGCGAGCGCCGTGGAGATCACGAAGAAGTCGTAGATCTGGTCGCCGCAGGTGAAGGTCGTGGGCGCGACTACCACCCCGCCCACAGCCCGTGGCCACCAAGAGGCGGCGAGCACGCTGGGGTCCATATTCCAGTCGGCCCCCACTATGAACGGCTCGTGGAGGCTGAACAGGAACTCCTGGAGGTCCGACAGCAGCTCCAGGTTGTAGCCAGCCATCCTGGTCGTGTGCTCGAGGTAGGCGCTGACCACCGTAACCACGAGATCGCCGAAGGCCACCCGTCGGGCCAGGATGCGGGCACTGTGCTGGTGCCAGTCGTGGTCGATAGCCGCCACGCCCCTAGACTTTGACGTCAGCACCCCGACGCCCGCCGAGACCGCCTGGGCCGCCTGCCCCGTGCTGTGGACGCTGCCGAAGGCAGCGCTGAAACAGTTGCGCCTGGCCCAGCTGCAGGCGTCAGTCGCCTTCTGGCTGGAGGTGAAGCGTGTCTCCTGCACCAGGATGACGTCGTCGCCTCCTCCTTCGTCCTGGACCCGCTCCAGCTCCACCTGCGTCTCTGTCCAGGTCGAGCCGTTCAGTGTGACGAAGCTGGCTCGCTTCGCTCCCTCTGGCCTGATCAGCTTGGCCAGCTGGAGGGGCTTGACCTGCGGTCGACCAGGCTGGGCTGTGCCGCAGGCTTCACGACTGCCGCGGTGGCCGAGCGGCCGCCAGGCGGGCGGCTGCTCGCCGCCTTGGGTCTCCGAACCTCGGGGGGTCTCACGCCCTCGCCCGTAGCCTGGTCAACTTGAAATGGGTACCCATTATTCCTTATGGGCCCCTGGCTGGGCTGAGGACTGCCAGTCCTTCGGTCGGGCCCAGCCAAGTCCGCCGCAGCGCTTGGCTCTGGACTGCTGCTGAGCGCCTCGAACTTGGTGTCGTGGCGCGCGTCATCAAAGCGCCGGTCCTGGCGCAGCAGCGGCACTCTGAAGGGAAGCCCTTCCCAGGCGTCGGCCTGCTCATTGGCCGCCAGGTAGGCGTGCAGGCCGCCTCTCGATGGCGCCGCCGCCTCGGGGCGGCTGGGCTCCGCCGCCTCTGCCTCCTCAGCCCCGACTGGGGCGGGCGGCGCCGCACCGTCGGGGCCGCCTCCTGGCAGCAGGGTGCTACCCGCAGGTCTGGCCACTGCCAGCAGCAGCGCCAGCAGCAGGTGGAGGGGCCGCCGCAGCGGCCTTATGGTCGGCTGCGCGCTGGCGGGCCGCCTCGTCTGCCGCTCGGCTCTCCGCAGCGGCCGCTGGGGGGGGTCCAGCTCCTGGCGCAGCGCCTGCGGCTGGGGCGGCGGCGGCAGCAGGGGCGGCCGCCTGTCCTGAAGGTTGAGGCGGGGCGGCAGCACCCTGCTCGGGGGTGCCAGCGGCCTCGGCTGCTGCAGGCCCCTCCTCGGAGCGCTTGCGCTTCTTGGCCACCTCCTCCTCGATCTGGCGCTTGATGCGCTGCTGGTGCTCCTGGCAGTTGCGCTCGAACGTAGCCTGCGCGCCCTGCATGATCTGGAGCCCTTCCTCGCAGAGGCGCCTGAGGGTGGCCTGCGCCTCCTCCTCCAGCTCCGCGAAGTTGTCGAACGACTCCGCGTCGAAGTTGAAGGTGAGCTGCTTCGCTCCGTCGGGCTGTGCACCCACAGCGCCAGCCGCCTGGGCCCGCTGGCGCAAGAGGGCGTTCTCCTCCTCCTTGGCCTCCGTGAGGTTGACCGCAGCCTCGTCGCGCCAGCCGCGGCACTGGGCGAGGTGGTCCTCCGCCGCCACGAGCGCGTCCGCCGCCTCGTCGAGCTGGCGCTGGAGGTTGATCCGCTTCGCCGTGGCAGACTGCAGCCGCTGCTCGAGTGGCTTTGGCGCTGGGGCGGCCGCGGGCGCGACGAAGCACCGCGCGTCGCGGACCGCCTCCTGCAGCCTGGCCGCGATGGCGGGGTCCCCGCAGGCGAGGAGCGCGTCGAGCTCGCTCTCGGGCAGGGCCGACCAAGGGGCCTTCGGGAAGGCGCCTCCACCACGGCCGCCCGCGCCTCCGACGCCGCCGCCACGGGAGGCTGCACCGCCTCCGCCGCCACGGGAGGCTGCACCTCGGCCTTTGCCGCCCTTGCCGCCCTTGGCGCCATCCCTCGGTGAGCCTCCGCCGCCGCCTCCACGATGCGCGGGCGGGGAGCCGCCGCCGCCGCCATCCGCCCAGACCCCGACGCGGGGCGAAGGCTTCGAGGGCGCCAGCTCCAGCCCAAACCCACACTGCCAGCACTCCGCGTTCGTGCGGAAGTTCCAGCGGTAGCGGCAGCCCGTGCACACGACGAAGCCAGGCTCGGCCTTGGGCCCCATCGCTGGAGCGGGCGGGCGTGCTGTTCAGCCGCGGGCGTGCGGCAGGCAGGAGTCGACGGGGGCGGACCCACCGACTCGGAAGAAGGCGTGACCCGGAGGTCCTGGAGGGTGCTGCGGTGGCAGCACTCGCAAGTTGGAAAGGAAGGTGGCCTCAAAGCGGAACCTCCCTCGCGCTCAGAAATCGCCCCGAAAGACTCGCGGTCGTCGGGACGGTTCATTGCCTTGAGCCAAAATGGCTACAGATACGGTGAAGGCATTGGAGAAGGAACCACTGGATGAGGAATCCAGGGTCCGGAAGCCCGCGGAACTCCAATCGTGGAGTGGCCATGGGTATCACCGCCGCCCTCATTGGATAAGGGATCTTCCAGGGTCAGAAGCCTCCTAGGCACATTCCTTAAAGAACGCCCCCACCGTATGATTTTATATAATGTTTCTCTGGCTTTCCTCGTAAGCTCCCGCCGACCCACGGAGCCGCCACAGAGATGGCCGCGGGGCCGCGGAAGCGGACTATGACTACACGAAAAAGACATACAACGCCTGCATTCTCACATGGGAAATTCGGGAGATCCTAACCTGTAGCGCTATTTATTTCTGTTGCAGATCCCCGACAAGTTAAATCATTTTGTAGTCGCCCCTACACAAGGACTCTTCTTGTGGCGGCCTTCAAATGGATTTGAGTTGTGGGGCATCTGCAATAGCCGCCACAACAGAAATCCTTGTGTAGCAACCTTGACAAACGAATAATTCGTTTTCTGGAGATCTTCCACAACAGAGATTTGAAGTGTGGGGGGTCTGCCTGCGAATCACTCTATCTTGATGGCGCAAATCCCCGGCAAGTCTTCTTTGGTAACAGCCTTTACATAAGGGTTCCTTGTGGCGATTCCGCACAATTATCTGAATTGTGGGGGATCTGCGACCATTGAGAACAACTACGATCACACATTTTCCTATTTGTTGTTCGAATCACTTTTGTGAAAAGACATGTCGTTTGTTGTTTGTGCTCCCCATGTCTTCTGGCCAGGTTTCCGCGGACCCACAGCGCTCGCTGCCTCTGGAAATCTCTTGCACTCAAAATTCAATGTGCACATTGAATACGCATTGATTTCATTTGGTGTAATTCGCACATTGAATCTAAACCTAGACGTTTCACACCTATTTTAATACACTGAAGGATCTCAGTGGTGATGCTGTGACAAAAGCTTACAATTGAAATCAATGTGTCCATCTGCCTCTGTAGAAACTACCGCGTCAGTCTCCATGACTCCACATATGATGTGAACATACGCCACAAACGGTATACGCAGGTAAATAACAGAAGCAACAGCTGGTTGTCATCGCACAAACGGAGAGCCTTTCTGGACCCCCCCTGGCGCGGGGACTGCTGCTACGGGGCCCCAGCGCCGATCCGAGACATCCACGCAGCACTGTGACGTTTTCTTATTCGGCGTTTCGACATTGGGCGGAAGGGGGGGAGGGAAGTTGTCTGGCTCCGGACCTCTGCTTAGTGCGTCTGTTTGCAACCGTGCGTCCTGTGGGGGAGAGAGACTCCACCTACTCGAAACAGGCGCCGAAAACAGTCAAGATCTACTCCATGGGGGGGGGAAAGGGGGGGGGTGCGAAGGCCCGCACCGATTGGCAAAACAAGGAATGAGAAAACGATCACACTCTGAACGCTTATGCTTATGCCATCGTTTGCTCCCCAGGCTTCCGCTCTCGAAGACCCTGTGCAGCCCGGGTGTGGCGGCTGCCTGAGTGGAGCCGCCCCCGCCGCCAGGCTCGTCCTCGGAATCGGCGTCGCCCGCCGGCAGCAGGTCGGCCGGGGTTACGAGGTGCGCCAGGAAGGTCGGCTACACGCCAGAGTTACCCCAGGCAAGAGTGACATGCAGAAGCCCCAGGCGAAGGCTGGCAAACCCGTGGCTGCCAAAGCGGAGCTCCGGGATTTTTGATCTTTTTCCGGGAAGCAGCCCGTCTACTATATTTGGCGTGCTGAATTCTATTCTGGGAACTTGGCCTTTCCTCCGGGAAGTCCGTTTCAGCAGCCACGGATTTGCCGGCCCTCGCCCGGCTTCCGAGACCTCTGGTGCGCAGCCCAAACGGGGGGCCCCTCGGGGGCACCACCGGGCGCGCAAGCCGATGCTGCATCGCATCGCGTCCTGCCATCGGGGGGCCACATGCACACGGCCTCCCAATCCGCGAGGCCAGCCTCGTGCTGCGAACGCCGACGTAGAGTCATGTACGTGCACGTCCCTCCTTCGCACCAGACCCTTTGGGCCCGCACCCAGACCCAGACATGCGACGTCGTGATTTTTTCAGGACGGCGTCCCTGGAAGTCCAGAACCTTTCCCCGGGGCCGGTTTCTCATCCTGAGTCGTTTTGTTGACGGTCCCGCGGCCTGGCGAGGGCCCCCCGAGGCCGAGATTGGCCAGACACCTCCCGTCCTGATTGTCTTATACGACGCGCTCATGCCTGGGGAGGCCACTCCGGCGAACGGTCACTCCTGCGTGCAGCCGAGAAGGCCCAGAGCCGCAGGCCGTGCGCCCCCCCCGGCCCCCGCAACTCCACGTGCAGCTCGTCCCGGGCCTCTGGCCGGCCCAGCAAGTCCTAACCAGCCTCGAACTGATCCCTATCCCTAAGGTGGGCGAGCAAGAAGCGAGGACGATCTCGAGGATGTGCCCTCAGAAACTGATGGACTCCTCAAGATCGGCATCGAGGTGAGGTGATGCCAAACACAGGGACAGGGATATGTCAACAACTGGTAGAGTCCGGGTCGAAGATGCCCTCCGCGGGGTCGCAGCTGTCCAAGCGGCGCTGCAGTGCCGTGAGCGCCGCGGGCTGCGGCAGCGCCACGCTCACCTGAGGAGGTGACTCCTGGGGGGTCTTCGTCGAAAGGATAAAGGAGGATTGAGCCCCTGTTGCGGGGCTGTGACGCCGTTGTGGGCCTCGGGTTGAGCAAAAGATTCGGCCGGATTGAGCGGGATTATAAGCGGGACTCAGCCGGACTTAGCGGGACTGCAGGCCAGATCAAGCCGGATTTGGGACCAGGGCGAGATCCGAACCTGCCCTCCCGGGAGTTATAGCTGCACCCCGAGCTCGCCAGCCCGCACGGGCTGCTCACCGGCCTGTGGCGCAGCAGCGCGTGGTGCATCGGGCTGCCCTGGCTGGCCGGGGGGGCGACCGCCTCCAGGCGCTGGACCTCGTGCCGGCGACTCCGCTGGGTGCGGTTTGCAGAGGGTGTGCTCTGCAACCCGCGTTGGGTCGGGCGTGTCCTCCGGCAGGGGGATTTTTTGGACGACAAGTAAAACGTGGCCAGCAAATAAGCAAACATTGCCAAAAATAGTTGGAAACCCGTCTCCAGACATTTTTTGCATTTTTGAATAATCCTCTTGTAGAAGGGCATGCCCAGCGCCCGAGATGGGGGGGGCGGGCGAGGACCTCGACAGAGATCTCCGCCGCGCCCCCTCGAAGCCCCAGCTGCGCCGATCGCAAAACACACCCTGGCGCAACCACACCCTTCCCAGGGATTCGATGTCGAGAAGGGGTGGGCCTTCTCAGAAGGCTCGGAAGTTTCCCCAGCCTTCTGAAAGGTGTCCTGTTCTGAGCCTTCCCCGAAGACACGGGAAGCTTCTTAGAAGGCGCGAGGGCATCTGAGAAGCCCCGCCGCCTTTGGAGAAGGTCTTCTCCTTCTCACTTCCCCAAAGATCCGATGTCGTGATTTTTCAATTCCGGGGTCCCCGGAAATTTCGACCCATGCCCCAGGACCAGTCTTTCATCCTGAATCGGTCTGTGACGGTCCCGAGGCCCAGCGAGGACCCCTATAGGCCGAAGTTAGCGAAAAACCTCCGCCTTGTTTTTTTCAATACGTTGGATCTCTGGGTTTGTAGTCGCCGAACCTCGTCGGCCAGCGCCGCGACATCGGCGGGAGCGGCGCTGGCGAGTGCGGGCTCCATGGGCCTCGCGCGCGAGGCGCGCGCAAGGCGTCGCCCGAGCCTCGCGGGGGCCAAGGCCTGGGCAGTGCCGCGCGGGCAGTGCTGGTTCTGAGCCCTTGGCGCTGCCACAGCGATGGCCGACCTCAGGCTCGACTCGAGCTCGGCTCGAGCTCGACTCGTGTTCGACTCGGGCCGAGGGACGTTCGACGCAGCACCGACGCGCGAGCGGAGCGCCCCGCCTCGCCGGGGCGCCTGCCAGGAGGCGGCCTCACCCCGTGCGGCGGCCCCTCGTGGCCACGGCGCAGCGCCACTGCGCCGCTCTGAGGCACGGAGCATCCATTGGCCGATGCCTGTTCCACTGGCGTGGCGTGGGCCTGTAGGAGGAGGAGGAGGAGGAGGAGGAGGAGGAGGAGGAGGAGGAGAAGGAGGAGGAGGAGGAGGTGGGTCCCACTGGCTGAATTCCCCACCGGATGGGGAGATTGGCCGTTTCCGTCGGGTTTCGATGGCCTGCGCCCCCATCCGGAGGGGCGGGACGGCGGGGCCGAGATGCCACGTGGCTGAGTGGGGGTGGGCATAGGTGGAACGATGCTGAGGCACGGGAGTGACAGACGATCACCGCGACAACCAGTGGTTGGCGGCGCGCACTAGGGGGTGGAAGGAGGGGGGAAGGCCGCTTAGGAGGCTGCTCCTTAGAAGGCGCCGGCCTTACATCTGCAGACGAGGCCCACGCCTTCTAAGAAGCAGGGGTGCTTCTAGGAAGCCTTCCCCCCTCCCCCCCGGCAGGGGAGCCCGCCCGTGCCCATGAGGGTTACGGCACGGCGGGGAGAGGCCGCGGCCCCAGGGGGAGCAGGGGGAGGGCAATGGGGGAGGGCAAGGGAGACGAGGAAGAGGAAGGAGGAGGAGGAGGAGGAGGAGGAGGAGGAGGAGGAGGAGGAGGAAGTTGAACTAGGGAGGAGCTGGGGAGGTGGAGGGGGGAAGAAAGGGAAGACAACGCAGGCAACTCCCCACCTTACCGCATCCCGCGGCTGCTTTCCGCGTCTTGGTTCACTGCCACTAGCATGGAGGTGCGACAAGGCGCGACACGTCCGTACCCTGCCACGACGGCAACACCGCATCGGGGCTCTTGAGACGACCATCGGCGCAACACGCGAAGAGGAGGGTGAAATGACTGGAGGGGTGGCCCGTAAGACACCCAAGGGAAGTGCAATCAACAATCATGACAAGGGCACTGTATCGGGATGCAAAGCTCTTGGGCGCCCATGCGGCCAAAAGGGACGAGAGGTAAGAAGCAAGGATGTGCAGACATCCTGCTACAATATGGTACCAAAGCGAGCGCTGAAATAGGGAACGAAGAGCTTTTTTGGCCACGGCCAGCCTCGGCCACGAACGGGCTCCACGACCACAATCGAAAGCCCCGAAGGCCCGAGCCCCTCGAGAGCCCGAGGTGGTACTGATCTCAGCGTCTTGAGTGCGAGGGCTGCCTGATGGATCACTGCGCCGTCACGGTGTGTGTGTGTGTGTGAGAGTGTGTGAGTGTGTGGTCACCCCACTGCCATCCACGCCCGGATGTGCTGTATGGCGGCTGGTGCTGCGGGATCCAGAGCGATTCCTGAGGGCCCGGCCGCGGATCCGCGCTTCGTGCTCTTACTGACTCCTCTTCGTCGCCGCGCGCGAAGCCGCTGCCGCCATCAAATGTGCGTACGTGTGTGTGTGTGTGTGTGTTGACCGTGAACCGAGGCCGCGCGGATGCCCCAGGGCGACGATGCCCGCAGGCATGGCTGGGCGGCTGGCTCGTCGACAGGACTCTCGAAGGCCCAGAAGCTCTCGAGGTCCCAGATGGTCGCCGCCCTGTCCTGTAGTTGCACGGAAGTAGCGGAAAGGTATAACAAGGCCAAGCATAAAGACAACATCGGATGGAGGTACATCGGGGATCTTTGAGGTTCGGCGGTTTTGGAGGATTGACCGGGCGGCGCGTCTGTTCCAGAGTGCTTTTGGAACACTCTGAATGCCTTCTGGGACGCTCTCGAGAAATTATCCCTGGCCTAGCCCCGCCAGGATGGGGTCAAAATATGAGCTGGGCATGGCCCGAGCAGCCGGAAAGGAGGCAAGTAGGGGGGGATTGTGCGAGGGGGGCGGAGGGGCCGATTAGTTCATGAATCGTGCTCAAATCACTAGGTCGTTGTAGCGATAGGTCCATCACCATGCCAGCATCAGAATGGGGCTGGGGCGTGATGGCATACTTGTCTGCCGTCTGGTACGTCCTAAGGGTTTTGTACTTTTCCAAGGGCGCCCCTTTCACTCAAAGCAACCGTGGTCCGAACATCGGTTCACATATTTGCTCTCCGACGCCCTTTTAACCTCAATCGGCTGCAATCGGCCCACAACAGTTCCAATATCGCTTCTAAATGCTCCAGGAGGCTCTAAGAAACCCCCAAGGGACGCTGAAAGAGATCTCCAGCGAGGTCCTCCGAGGCAGACAAATATGGAAATAATCAAAACCAGTGCTTGATTCTTCCCACACTCTTAAAACATAAGATCGCCTCGGGATCAACGTGTATGCAACACGAGAGGGCTTCTTCAACGGTAGCGTTCTCACTATGCCACGTTGTATGTGGGAACGTATCAATTTCGTCTTGGGGGCTCCTGGATCCGACTCGAAGTCACTTTGGGCCCTCTTAGAGAGCGCCCATTGGGCTGCTCTGGAACGGCCTTGGGCCGTCTCGGGCCTCCGCGGGCCCGCCCAAGCGGCGTGCGGTGGCCCCGAGGGGCTGCCCAGACCGGAAATTCTGATTCCACGTCGGTGGGAGCGCCCAGGGCCGAATTTATGTACGGGGTGGGGGTGGGGGGTGGGGGGTTTCCTGATAAGAATATTCAAGAAGGCCTATCTATCTATCTATCTATCTATCTATGTATAAGTGTGTGTATAGATATATACATATGTGTATATACACATATATACAAATACATATATGGGTGTTCGGGCATCCCCGCACCCCTGGGGAACAAAAAGCGCACGCTGATGAAAAGATGAATCGTGCGCAGCTTTCTGGTTTCCTCGGTCGTCATATTTGTTGAAAAAAGCAATTTTCTGGCCAGCGCCGCCCACCGCTCATTCGAGACGCCGGGTGCGCCATGCCATCCAGGAGGCCCCCCATGCCGCTGCCTCGGCGAGGTATCCAAACTGTGCAGATGCTTTGTTCGCCTGTGTAAGGAATCCGTCGCAATGGTTTCCTGGCGAGGATACCTGAGTGGGGGATCAGAATTAAGGAATCCTTGCGAATGAACCCTTCGTAAATAATCCCAAGTAGTAAACCGTGAATGGATGATCCTCATGAAGACATCCTTAGCTGGCATCACTGACGAGGAGTATGTTTGCAAGAAGCTCTGGGAACACTACTACGTCGTAAGATATCAATAGTATGGAACATGCAACAAGGACTTTTTAACACTGGGATCCTTAAGGCGGAAAAGCGTTCGTAATGAATCCGAAACAAGGACGTCGATCAGGATGTACGAGAAAACACATCTTAGCAAGGAAACATTACAAAGGGATCCTTACCGATGCCTTCACATGGCAATCTTAACAGAGGAGCCTCTGTAAGGGATCTACAATCAGGAACCCTCCTGTAAGGAATCCAAAGTAAGGGTTCCTTCGTGGGGAATCGTTAGTGGGGGATGTTCAGCGGGGAATGTTTCGTAAGGGTCCTTATACAATAATCCTTAGCCAGGAATCCTCAACTTGTTTTCATCACTAAGGATTCATCAGTGAGGAATCCTTACTACAGAATCCTTAGTAAGGAATCCTTCGTAAAGATTTCGTAATCAAGAAGTCTTGGTGGAAATCCTGAAGGGAGTGCTTGGTCGGGATCCATCCGTAGGGAACACTAAAGAAAGAGTTCCGAACGAGAAACTCTTCAGAATGGAACCAGATTAACGAAGTCTGGTTGACGAATCCTCAGTAGCGGTTCTTACTAAGAGAATGTGTAACACATTAATGAATAATCCTGAATAATGAATAATCCTTAGTGGAGTCAATTGGATACTTTGCTACTGCGAGGTTTTAGGATGTGTGTCCGTCTACAGGCTACAACTCGTTTGGCCCTGGTCGCATGAGTGGGCAGCTCGCTCTAGCTGCCCACTCATGCGACAACCGTTAAATTCGCCCGACCGGCCGCCCGACCAGGCGACCGACCGACCGAACGACCAGACAACGACCGACGGCGACGACCGACGAATGACAACGACGGCGATGACGCCCGACCGACCGACCGAACGAATGACCGAACGACCCAGCGGCCGAGCGACCGATGAGGATGACGACCATGAGCGACGACGACACCGACCGACCGACCGATCAACGACGACGACGACCGACCGACTGGCCGAGAGAGCTATCGACGACGACGACGACGTCGACCGACAGACAACGACGACGGCAACGAGCTCCGAACGACCGACAGACCGACGACGACCGAACGACGAGGACGACGACCGACGGCGACGACCGACGGACGACGACGTCGGACCGACCAACCAACAGCGACGACCGACGACGACGAAGATAACGGTAGACGGCGGACCGACCGACGACCACGACCGCGACCGCCCGATGTCAAATTCTAGAACTCGCGGGCCGGCCAAAATTCTAGGAGGGAGCGCTTCGAGGACGCGGCCCCCCCCCGTCCCCCTCTCCCCCCCCCGCCCCCCTGAGACGGGGTTCCGCTTTCAGTAATACATAAGGGAGGGGCGGTTGCAGGTGAATGTAACACCTCAGGATCCGAATCCTGCAAATATCTATGGTTTGAGACCACCCGCTGGGGCCGAGTGAGCCCGAATGAACCCGAATGAACCACGAATGAACCCGCGACTGTACAAGAATGCGCCCCCGACTGAACCCTCCCCAGCGCCCCAAACGGACCCCGACGCAACGCCCTAGACGTCGTTGTCGTTGTTCGTCGGCCGTCGCCGTGGTTCGTGGGTACGATATTCATATTCGAACTCCACGGCCAACAATAACCCACTGACTGTAATGAACCCTTCACAAGAAACTCTTGGTAAAGACTCCTTAGTGGGGAAACCTTGGCAAGTAATCCTTACTACAAAATCCTCAATGGGGAATTTTTAACAAACAACCCTTAATATGGAATCAGAAAACAATAACCATTATCATTGAGTTTTCAACATGTATCCTCAGCATGGATGCGTCAGTGAACTATTCGAAGTAAGGAACCCTTACGAACGACTAATGAAACGGGAATCCTTAGTACATAATCTTTTGTACGGAGCTCTTGGTACGGACATCAGAATACGGATTCCTGAGTCGAACGTCCTGCGTAAGGGATCATTGATAAGGGATCCTTAGTGAAGGATATCTAATAAGGGATCCTTAATCAACAATCACTATTAAAGAACACGTGTCACTTAATTCTTAACCGTGTTTTCATTCCGTAACACAGAGTCCTTAGTAGAGAATCCTTAGTCTGGAGTCGTTGGTAGGAACCCTTCATACAAGAGATCTTTAGCAAGGAGTCCCTTGTTTGTAACCCCTATTCAGGATTCCTTATGCGGGAACCTCTGGCAGGGAATCCTTCGAAGGGATTCCTCACGAAGGAATTCTTGATAAGGGTTGTGTCCAACATTAATCCTCAGTGATCATTCCCAGGTGCGGAGTCCGACGTAGGGAGTCCTTAAGCAGGACTCCTGAGCCAGGGATTTTTCGCACGGAATCCTTTCCAAGGAAGCCTTCATGGGGAATCCTTCGTAATGATGGAGGGGCAAGGGAAGTGGGAGGAAGAGGAGGAGAAGGAGGAGGCGAAGGAAGAAGAGGAGGAGGAGGCGGAGGAGGAGGAAGAGGAAGAACAGGACAAGGATAATGAGGAGGATGAGGAGGATGAGGAGGAGGAAGAGGAGGAGGGGGCAGGAGGAGGACGGGAGGACGAGAAGGAGGAGGTGGAGGAGGAGGAGGAGGACGAGAAGGAGGAGGAGGAGGAGGGATGAGGAGGAGGAAGGAGACGCGGAGGAGGAGGAGGAGGAGAAGGAGGAGGAGGAGAAGGTGCTGCCGACGGAGCTTGGCTTGCAGCCCATACGCAGGCTGGCTGCGGACGGTCCCTGGTGCTGCCTCATCGCAAAGGGGGCTGGGCCCTGGGGAGAACATCCCCAGAAAAACAAAAAGTAACCCTCGAACCCGCTGGTCCCGCATTGTTTCAGGGCAGGCGGAAAAACGGAACCAGTGGATTATATGGGGGGAGCGTTCTTTTGTTTCCTGGGGCCTGTCTCCCAAGGCCGTACCCCCCCCTCCACCACAAACGGGATCAACTTGTATCCTCCCATACACAAAAAGAATACGTGTGTAACCTCCCGCAAAGGAAATCCTTGTGCACCTCTTCCTCCTCTTCCTCGTCGTCCTTCTTTGACTCCTCCTACTCTTCGACGTCGTCGTTTTCGTCGTCCTCCTCCTCCTCCTCCTCCTCCTCATCATCATCTAGGAACTCCCGCGCAACCCGCTTGGGTCTCCTTGCGATGTGTTTCAAGGGTGCGGGAATGCCCGCACGATGTACGCGTGTTCTGCAATATGTCGAGATACCTCTGGCCCATATGAACGTGTGCGTCTCCCACGGCCAGCAAAACTGAAATCTGCCGAACCCTGAGGCGTGTGCGATTCAACTGTGCACCTGTTGACGACACCCACCACGACCGCCCTTCCTTGCAAAATCTGGCATTGTCCACACGACAATTTCTCGCCGGGGACCGACCCTGACCCCCCCACCTGGCCACCACTTCGCCCTGACACACCCCGCCCTCTGGATCCTGTTCATGGGGAGCCCCACTCGACAACTGCTCGCCCGGATGCGACCCTGACCCTCCGCCTGGCCACCACCTCGCCACGGCACGCCCCGCCCTCTTGATCCTGCTCTGGGGGCCCCCCATCTGACAATTCCCCGCCCGGAAACGACCCTGCACCCTCTGGACCTCTAAGCCTGGGACCTCCCACGTAGCACTTCCTGACCCCCCACCCCAGCACGTCCCTGTTTTCGGGGCCCCCCACCCGATGGTCTCTCGCCCGGAACCGACCCTGACCCCCCACCTGCGCACCACTGCGCCCCAGCACGCCCCGCCTTCTGGATCCTGTTTTCGGAACCCTCCACCCCACCTAGCCACCACTTGGAAGCAAACCTGACCCCACCTGGCCACCACCTGGCCCCGGCCCCCCCCCACGTCCTGGGGGCCCCCAGTGTACAATCTTTCGCCGAAGCCACCAACAATGTTCGCTCCGACGAAGTGGGGGGATGCTGCAGCGCGGCACCCCCCAGCATTCCCCCACTTCCTGGGAGCTCTGTTCTTCAGACCCCCCACCCTCCAATGTCTCGCCCGGAACCTACCTGCGCTCCCCATCGCGCCCCGGCATCCCCCCACCTCTCAGGAGCTTGGGACCCCCCATCCTACAACTTCTGGCCTTGAGCCAACCTGCGCTCCCCACCACGCGCCGTCATGCCCCCGCATCGCAAGGGTTCTGTTCTTGAAACCCTTTCAGGAAGGTTTCAGGAAGGTTCCAGGGAGGGTTCCTCGTAAAAACTGTTTAAAACCTTCCTCAGGAAGGTTTCGCGAAAGTTTCCTTCTAAAAACCTTCCTGGAACCTTCGTCAGGAAGGTTTTTGGCCGATTAGTTGAAGATTCCTTCAAACAACCTTGCTAAAAACTTGCTCAGGAAGGTGTTCGGGAGGTTTGTTTGGAAGATTAATTTTGAAAAAAAGGATTCCTCAAAGCTCCGTCAGGAAACTTCTAGGAGGGCGTCCTCCGAAAACCTTCCTCAGGAAGGTGTTTGGAAGATTGTTGGAGGGTTCCCCCCAGAAGCCTTTCAGCAACTTTCTCCTGGAAGATTTTGCGAGGGCTTCCCCCTTTAAAACCTTGATAACACCTTCCTCTGGAAGGCCTCTGGAAGGTTGTTTCAGGACTCCGTCAAAAAAACCTGTCAGAAACCTTCCTCAAGAAGGTTTCATCTTCCTGAAACCTTCATGAGAAAGGTTTTCGGAGGGTCGTTGGAGGACTCCGCCCACAAAGCCTTCCCAAAACCTTCCTCAGGAAGGTTTCAAGAAGGTTTCATCATAAGAACCTTTCAATCACATTTCTCGGGAAGGTTTTTGGAAGGTTGTTGGGAGATTCCTCCTGAAAGCCTTCCAAACAACTACACCAGGAAGGTGCCAGGAGGCCGTCCTAGAACCCCCCAGGGAAAAGGTCAGGAGGGTTTCCTCCAAAAAACCGTCCTAAAACGTTCCTCGGGAAAGCTTCAGAAGGGCTACCTCATTAAAGCCTGCCAACAACCCCCTCAGGAACATGAGTGGAAGGCTGTTTTGGGATTTCTCCGAACAACCTCCCGGATTCCTTCCACAGGAACGTTCAGGATATATTCCTCTTAGATAAATATGTGTATGTATATGCATAGATCTGTTAACACCTTCCTAATACCTTCATCGGGAAGGTGTTTGGACGGTTCCTCCGAAAAACCTTTCAACAACCCTGCTGAGGAAGGTTGCAGGAAGGCTTATTCCTAACAGCCATGTCTACAACCTTCCTCAGGAAGGTTCTTTTGAAAGGTCATTTGGGGGATTGCTTGTGAAAACCTTCCAAAAATCCTCCTCGAGAAGGTTGCAAACAAGTTTCCTCTTAAAAACCTGCCTGAGCAAGGTGTCCGGCCAGATTTTAAGATATTCCCTTTTGGAGCCTTCAAAGACACCCAGAAGGTGCTTTCAAGGTTTCCACACGATTTCTTGTAAACCTTTCAAGGGCCTTGTGTCGGGAAGGTTGCAAGAGGGTTTCCGTCAACAGACATTCCTAAAACCTTCCTCACGAAGATTGCTGGAGGGGCTTTGAAGGATTCTTCCTAAAAGCCTTGCAGACACCTTTCCTCAAGAAAAGTGTCGGAAGGTTTCCTCTGACAAACCGTCTGGAAGCCTTCCTCCAGAAGGTTTCAAAAGCGCTTCGTCCTGAAAGTGTTCCTGCTACCTTCCTCGGGAGAAAGGTTTGGATGTTTTTTTGTTTTCCCCAAACAATAAAACATAAAACTTTACCCTTCCAAACCTTCTGCAGAAGGGCTTAAGGGTTTACGGAGACTCTCCTTTCAACAATGTTGCGAAACACGTCCTCATGCAGGTTGTGGAAGATAATTGGAGGATTCCTCCCAGAAGCCTACGAGCACAAGAAAAACTCCCCCGGGAAGGTTTCACGAGGGTCTCTTCCGAACAGCATTCCTACAACTTTTTCCGAGAAGATTTCTGGGAGGTGTTGGAAGGATGTTTGTTTTTGGGGAAGTTCCCTCGTCAAAACCGTCCCACAACCTTCCTCAATCAGGTTTCAGGTCGGCTTCCTCCGAACGACCTGGGAGGTTTCCCCAGGAAGGTTTTTGCACGGCGTCAGGAGGTAACCTCAGGGAAAAAAACATTCCAACAACTTCCTTGATAAGGTTTCAGAAGGGGTTGGCCGAAGTGCCGCATCCAACTACAAATGGTTGTCCTCTTCTTCCTCCTCCTCCTTCAATTCCGTCCCCCCCTTCTGCAGAGTCCTGGTTCATCATGGGCATCACCTTCGCTGGCCCGATGATCCCGTGCTTGTTGGGCGCGGGTCGGCCGCGCGGGCAGCCGGCGGCCGGCATCTGATAGGGGGGCAATTAACTGGCGGGCTGTTTATGATCGGACTCAGTATCGGTACCAGCTGAAGGCCTGGAACAAGCTGAAGAAGAGGAGGAAGAGGAAGAGGAGGAGGCGGAGGAGGAGAAAAAGTATCAGAGGAACGGGAGGGCATGGTGGAATGGGGGCGCGAGGAAAGTCTGCCAGAGGATTTCACCGAGCTGCCCCCCCCCACCAGCCACACATATCTGGGACGGGGAGGATGTCATGATAGGATTGGCTCAGGATGCGTTTCATGATCTTCACAATATCTAGCGGCCCTTGTTTCGACGTGTTACACCTGAAGGAGGCTTGCCAACTACCACGATCGCTGCCTCACCGCTTTCGCTCTGCCGCCGCTTCTAGTCTCACGCGTCGATTGGGATCCGTCTGTATTTCCTCAGTTGCCGATCGACCGACCGACCAAGGAAAAGGGGGGGAAGGAGGAGGAGGAGGAGGAGGAGGAGGAGGAGGAAGAGGAGGAGGAGGAGTAGAAGGAGGAGGAGGAGGAGGAGGAGGAGGAGGAGGAGGCGGGGCCCCAGTATATACACCACCACCAGGCGGCCATAGGAAAGGAACAAATCCTGGGCGCGACCGCCCTGACAAGGGTGCCACTGCCTGCCCCCGCGAAGCGCAAGTACTTGCCACGTTGTCATTCGCGCAGATGGCGGCCGCATTCGGTCGCGAATTACTGTTCCCAAAGAACCTATGGCAGCGCGGTGGTGGTGTATAAAAACGATTGTCCCCCCGGGAATTTTATACACTATCCCGAAATATACACCGCGTGAACGTGCTGTCTTTCCGCATGCAACCGCATGCCCAAATGACGCTGCGCACGCGATATGTCATTACCGCGAGATTTGGCGCACCCTGCAACCCACCGCCGAAACAATAGTCCGATCAAACCCCATGACAGAACACCAGCCCGCAGTGGTGACGCATATGCGTGGTTCCCGGAAAGGAGGAGGAGGAGGATCGCAGCCTCTGCTCCACAGCGTCCGCTGACTCCATGGGGGCAACAGTAGCCGGCCCGTCGAGGCCGCGCTCCGGGCCGCCGCTGCCCACCACTGTCGTGAAGGGGCCCAGGGCCACACACAAAGAAATGCACGCATCTTCGGGGGGGCCAGATCGGGCCATTGGGGGCCGTCTCCCTTGCTCCCCCGCGGACGGCGGCTGCGGCTGTGGGATGAAGGAGAAGAGGAAGGGCCCCCGAGGGGCGTAGACCATTGGGGCCTCGCTGCCAGCCCCGAACGGGGCCTGGGAAGCGCGGGCGGAGGACAATTGCCCAGTAAGCGCAGATCCTGCGCAGGATCTGCGCAGGGACGCTTCCCCATATGTTCCCATACTTTTTTGATCTTCGTCTTCCCCCGCACTTCCCATACTTTCCCATGCCTCTCAGGGGATCGTCGGCTGTGAGTGAGTGAGTGTGTGTATGTGTGTGTGTGTGTGTGCGTCTGCGTGCTTCCTCCCTCCCGATTACAACTCAGCGGAGCAAGCCCGCATCCTCATGGGCACCCTCTTCGCCCGACGCCACTGCGTTCGCCCGCGCAGACCGCCGCAGAGCGGCTTCCTCCGACCGTGCTCCGCGATGAGGAGGAGGAGGAGGAAGAGGAGGAGGAGGAGGAGGAGGAGGAGGAGCAGGAGGAGGAGGCGGAGGAGGAGGAGGAGGACGCTTCGAAGCCGCGGCCAGAACCTGCTCCGAAGCGGCCCCCCTCGCGCGCCCCTGCAGGCCGGACCAAACACTCCAGGGGCTCGCAGAACGCGGGGCGGGGAGCCGAGGGCCTCTTGTCTGGGGGGGGGGGGGGCGCGGCGAGCCTCGGCCGCGAAGAGGCCCCCCAGCCCAGATCCAGGGAACGGCCCGACAGCCAAAAGGCCCCTCCCGAGCCAAATGCTGCCCTTACTTCGTTGCCTCGAATGTAGGCTTGTGGATGCCATGACAGTGGGCGCCCCAGCGATCCCATCGTTGAGTTTAAAATGTTCATTGGAAACATCTCCTCCGATGCTTAACACATGTTTTGCTTTGAAATTTGTCAGGCATGTCGTGAATATGTTTAGTACACCTGGAACGAATTTGGCCGCGTGCTTTCTCTCAGTTGATCGTCGTCCACAACTAGAGGCGACTCTGGCGCCTGCCCCACCGTTGGGCAAACTGCGATGTGCCAGCGCCACTGCTCCCCCAGACCTCCCTCCCGGGGTGCGCTCTGGCCAGGCCCTACGAATCGCGTCCAGCCGCGGCGGCGAGGGCTTCCCAGGAGGCCCAGACGAGACGAGAAAAACAAGGAAAGGCGGCGAGCGAGGGTGAGAAGCGAGAAGGGGAAGGCCTTCTCAGCAGGCGGCGGGGCTTCCCAGAAGCCCTCGCGCATGCTGAGCAGCTTTCGGCATCCTCTGGGAAGTCTCGGAAGACTTCCCAGAAGGCGGGGGGGCCTCCCTCCTGAGAGGGCCCGCCCCTTCTCGCTCCCCCACAGGGCTCGCCGCCGACTTTTCCTCCTTGGAACACCAAATTGAGCATCGTTTGACCGACCCCCATCCCCGCCGGCGCGGGCTGGGCCCCACTGGCAGATCTGCCCCCCTGGATGGGGACACGGGCTGCTCTCTTCGGGCTTCGAGGGGCATCTCGATCCCCAACTGAGGTGGTGAGGCGGTGGGGCTCGAGGTGGGGATGGGGATCGGTTCAACGATACTGACAAGTGGGGGAACAAACGCAGCCCCAGTGGGTCCGCCAACGCGCCGCCAGCGGGCCCGTTGGGCGGCGGCGCCGCCCGCCGCTCGCGGAGGCGCCGCCCCCCTGCGCTCTCCGCGCCCGTTGCCGCTGTCGTCCCCGATGGCGAGGCGACCCGGGCAACCTCCAGAGCTCCGGGCCGAGCGTCGAGGTCCTGTCGCGGGCGACCGCGGCGCGCGCCCGAGACGTCTTCGGCGGCGCGCGACCATTTGGCGCATGCCTCGGGTAACGCAGAGGACGCACTTAGCAATGCGATCCGAGGGCGCTGCAACGACGACGTCGGACATGGACGGGTCTAGCTTGCGCGTCGGTCGGAGGAAAGTGGGTGAACGCGCGCGAGTTAGGAGGGCGGATGGAGTAGAGTGGTGTCAGGCCCTTCCAGACAGCATATCGATTCTTGAAATAGGGAGGCGCCTGGAGGAGGTCGGGTTCAGCAAATCTGAACATGCAGACTTTCAACCGCAAGAGCGAATATTGCAACATGATGTTGCCAGAGTGCAGACGCGCGGCCAGGCCCGAACGCAGGCGGAAGCTTGGTCGCTTGATCCTGCGCTGGACTGCACGATGCGAGAGATCGGCTGGATGCGCACGTGGGCGCCAGCGGGTGCGCCCGGCGCCGCCTGCGCAGGCGCCGTCTTGGCGCGGTTCTCGGAGCAGACGAGATCATCGACCGCCGTCCCGCCAGCCCGACGTCGTTGAGGACCGCCGCCCTGGACCCGGCAAGCTCGGACCGCCCGGGCTCAGCCAGGGCCTCGGGCGAGTTGTGGAAATCTTCCCAGGGCGCCCACGGGATAGACGCCGTGCTGGTAAAGTAACAAATTCCACGAATGCGGTTCACGTTCTCCACGCGCCCCTGGACGGGCACTGCCGCACGGCGCGCCCCACCGCCGAGAGGGCGGCCCTCAAGCTTGAGCGCCAACAACCGGCGCGTTCCAAAAAGACCAATCTGGATGTCCTCAAGGCACTGGGCCAGGAACATCTAACAGGAAATGTCTTTCTGGGCCAAACCAGCCACGCCTTCGTGAGCGCAGCCTCCAGGGGAATCAATAGCAGGTTGGAAAGACTAGGGCCATCCCATAGCGCGATCCCCTTTCTTCGTTTGCGGGGCGGCCTCGCAATGAGCATGACGCTCGGCATGGAAAGACGCATCCGCATTCTCAACCTGCGCTGCCACGTATCCTTTTTGCGAAGGCCGACCAACTGACTTTCCAGCACAAATGCTGCAACCGCTGCCGTTGCGCCCGTGGCCGCCGTCTGTCGGAAGGCACGGGCGCGTCGAAGAGGCCGCGCATGCTGGAGCTGGGCGGCCGCTGCCCACAGGTGCTGAATGAACTGCAAGTGTAATTGGCCGCCGTACGGCGAGCGCGCTTCGCGGCGCGGGCGTCGGCGGCGCGCTGAAAAAATGCCGACTAGCGCGGCCAATCTCAATCCAAGGCCGTGCGCGGCGACAACAAAGCCGAAAACTGAGCGAACCGACAGCGACACCGAAGCCGACCGACACCGGCATGCCGAGATCAGCCCAGAACGGTGCAGTGGCGCGGCAGCGACGCACGACGCACTGACCGACCAAGCCGAACCGACCGAACGCAACAGACTGGGACGCAACCCAACCGAACGAATCGTGAACACCCTGCCACTGGCCCCTAGGGTTCCCACCGCTGAGCAGGCCTGCTGCCCGCATGGGCCGCCGCCGGGGGGCCGGGATGGGGCAGCCGGGGCCGCGGTTCCATGCCACCCGGGCCATCTCTCGGCGACGAGCGAGAGGGGGGGCGGTGAGGAGACGGCCTTCTCAGAACGCAGCGGGGCTGCTCAGAAGCCCTCCCGCCTTCTGGCAAGTTTTTCCTGTCTTAGGGGAAGGCTGAGACAACTTCTCAGAAGGCCATGGGACTTCCGAACCTTCTGAGAAAGCCCGCCTCTTCCCACTCCCCCCCCCACCGGGCGCGCCCCCGACTCTCGGCATGGGCGGCGCGAAGGCGTTCAGCATGATGCATGTTTGTCGGCGCTGCTCCGGGTGGCACTGGTTACCCATCGGTCGGAAGAAGTAGGTAGAAACATGAAGTAGGAAGGCGTTGAAAATAGATTGGGTTCCGTCCGCACCCTTGGGAGGACGGAAAAGGTGAAGCCACTCGATCAATGAAATAGTAAGGCGCTTGAAGTATATTGTAATCTGGGAATTCCAAAATGCCTATTTTCAACGAACCTGCCTCCTTGTCCAGGAACCGTGCGGCCCCGGCGTGGGCCAACTCTGCCTTGCGAGGCTCTCCTTGT